ATGATCAGTGCCCTGAAAACAACCAAGCTCAGAGAACATCAAAGACCCCATGGTTCAACCCTGAACTTCATATGTTCTCTTCTGTTAGGTATCTTTCTATTTGAAAGGTCTTAAATCCAGGAACTGAGAGACAGGTACAGCAAGAGTTTCTGCATATCCAAAGACAGCATATCACTCTTTTCACTGTGTTTTCAAATACACCAGAATCAAAGTGCTCCCGTTATTGTACATAGCCAATGCTAAGATATCAAAGAGCAATGGAGCCATTTGTAAATTGGCACGGTCTTTAAATGAAAGGGCCCTCATTATCCTAAAGAACAAAGTGTATTCTCTCTTCAGATTACAACGCTGGTGACGGTTTTCTGGATTGCCCTTATTGTTTCTATCTCATTTGTTCATATTATGAATCACTGGGTAAGGGTGAGTATTTCAGCAGTGCACAGTCCAATTCTATTGTGCATTTCTGCCACACCTAAACAATGAAACTAGCTTGAATCAATATTAGCATAATGTGATAAAGTAATTAGCATCAAGTTCACTGAACATTTTCTAAGTGATTTTGCTGAGATGACTGATTCAGGATACCACTCCTGGATTTGCAGGAATGAGCAGTACGTAAAGGGCACATATGCAATCCAGAAAACGGTCACCAGTTTATAGAGTTATTTGCCACCCTTGGAATTTTCTCAGACCAGGGACTGTCTGATGTGTAAAATAAAACTCCCATCCCTTGCTGGTCAACTATAAAAGCTGTGGCTGTCCAGAATATCTGGAACATATCAGAGGTTAGGAAGGTTGTCTTTAAAATACTTCACACTCTATCCCGTGTGCTTGATGCTCTTGATCGCACACATGAGGCTAAAATGAGCTCAGGCTATCTTTGCTTCATAAGCCAATGATTTAGTGAAAGTGTTGCCTTGGCATTCTTATGTACTGTGAGTCCAGAAAAAAGCACATATGCCTTCCTATTTAATGTGTGCATGTTTCTGAATCATGCCCATGAAGCCTGCAGCATTAATACCAAAAATAATAATGAAGTGATAGTCAAGCCAAAGGACATCAGTGCATTTAGAAAAAAGGATTAGGAAGTTCAACTAATATAAAGATCTGACATGAAAACTTGATGATGTGCAAGCCAAGGGTCAAAACTTTGTTCTCCCTTTTTATAATACCAAACACTGCAGAGCTCCAGCTTTTTATTTCTTGATCTAACTATAGATTGATTTATTTGTAAACACTGTTGTTTTATCAAATACTTTATATATATAAAGTATATTGTTTTATGTTGGCATATATTGTTTTATGTTGGGTTTGCTGTTTTATATCTGAGTACTGTTCGTATGTTTCTAATATAATGGAGGAAGCAAATATCCAGTATGTAGCTGCCATTAATAACTTTGCTTTGCCAACACAGGACATAAGATTTGTCCATTTTTATGGACAAGCATTAATGTTAGTATAAATAGCCTTTTTTTAAAAAAAAAATGCTCTTCTCTGTTGTGATCAATTCTCTTTTCTTGTCTACATCATATCTGTAACATTTTTCTCTATTTTATTGGCACATGAAGCATGCAAAGTGTTATATTTATGGAGTTGATCAGACCATGGAGAGTTAAATGACTGATACTTTGTCCCCACAGAAGTATAAATTATGATCAATCAAACATAGGGCTGGGGAATTCCAGGAACTGAAGCTTACCCATCTTAAATTTGCTAAGGTTGAGAAACACTGAGCTACTTCATCTTGCCTGGGCTTGAAAAATTGCTAAGCAAAGATAGACTGATTAATACTTGGACAAACATAGCTTTAGGCTAAATGTGAAACTAAAACACATCTTAGAAGTAAACAGTGGCAAACCATCTTTGTATGTTGCCAAGAAAATTTCAAAAGATTGAGAGTATATTTCATTTAAACTAAACTGGTCAATCAAAATGACCTGTGAAATTAAAACTGCTCTCTTCTTAGTTCTATTTGTTCATGGATTCTACAGGCTATCTTCTCTTTTCCTAGCTAGGGAGCTTTCACAAAACAATTGCTAGTTCCTCTCTCCACTCCATCCTTGGAGCAGCTGCTGTTTCCTGTTGTACAGCATGACAATATGCACCCTGAGTCAGTATTTCCTTTTGAGGTGTATAGAACATTTTGCTGTGTCATTGTTGGAGGTTTCCTAGCAATGAAGGAACTGTTGTTGCTGAGTAATGCATGTGTCTTTCCTAAGATTAGCTTTCTGCATTGTTTACCCACAGTTGGAAGAGAAGCAGCCATTACTGGTAGGAACTGAAGCATGATTTCACACCACATTAATGTGCTAAGTAACTGGCCATTCAAAATTCCATCCAACTGAAAGAAAAAACGACATATATAATAAAACTAGATGGTTTGGAAAAGAATAGTTCTTTTCCTTCCCTTGTTTTTTTCTTTTCCCCCCTTTATTTAATTAAATAAGGTTCAAAAATGGCATTCTGAGAAATAGTTATTTTGTGTCTTGGCCTACAGTAGCCATTTTGTGGATAGGTTAAGTCCCATGATCAAAAAAAAATTCTATCCCTGCCCAGTGGTGGGATTCAAATAATTTAACAACCGGTTCTCAGCCCTAATGATTTCTTCCAACAACCAGTTCACCAAACTGCTCAGTAAGTTAACAACTGGTTCTCCTGAAGTGGTGAGAACCAGCTAAATCCCACAACTGTCCCTGCCCAAAGATCATCTTGACAGCAATAAATTGGTATTTATTGGTTTATATGTTGAGTCTTATGACAGCACAGGCTTACACAGCAGTTTCCTATAATGCTGCTTTTCTGACCTACTCACTGAACTAGTGCAGCCACTATGATATCAAAGAATTTGAGAAAATGATGATTAAATAAATGTAAGCAACAGGTTACTTCAATAGCAGGATGCTTTCTATGAAGCAACACTGGTGCTTAAAACTGCCCACTGAATGATCCTAATGGCCTGTGGGAAGAATTATCACAAAGATATTTCTGTCTTTTTGCCTTTCTTAGACTTTCTTCAGAATCCCTACTACAAGGCCCACATAGCACATATCACCACGGACAATTAACAGTTAATAGTTAATCATCCTTTGTAACAGCTCATTATATCACCTCACAAGACAACTCACCAGTCTGATAGATAATGTGAGCTGTCTCTGTATTGTTATATAATTATTTTATGTTACATGTGAGAATAAATTCAGTGATGATGTATCCAGATAGGATGTACCCAGATGTACCCAGATAGGGGGAAAAGTGGCAGCCATTTGTCATCATGCTCTGCAATAATCTGGCTCCTTGAAGATGAAGAGCTGAGTCAGATGAAATGTCAGCACAAGTAGGTCCTCTTTCGTGGATTCCACGTGTCTGCCTCCAAAGCTAAAACAAATGGATTCCTTCTACACTAACCATTTTCTACCCTTCAGCACCCAAAGACTCAGCATTCCCACTGAAATTGCTGCAGTAAATTAATCACAGAAACATTTTTCTCTCTTCATGGGCAATTGTCAGATGCCAGGATGGGAGACAGTCAAAACCTGACATTCACCCATTATTCAATGTTTCTAGACCTTTTTCTTTATGAGATTTTTTTCTCATAGAGGGTTGACAAAAGTGAAAAAGATCATTTTTGCCAGAAGGCAGAACTGGTCACCTGCAAAGGATTTGCGAGGTGCAGATTGGCTAGCTCTGCCACAAATAAACAGGATTATTTTAGTACACCATTAATAGAACTATTGATTTCAGTCTGGCAATTAATTTACCCACCCAGAGTATTCCAATGAAACTGCCACATAGATAAGAGTGTACTCCCAACATAATGCAAAAAGGGGGTTACAGATGCACTAAAATCAAGGGGAGGAACATTATTTTCCCCACTTGTCAACTACAGAGAGAAATTTATCCTATAATAAGCTTACCCAGTTGAAGACAATATACAGGGGGAACAAGATGGATTTGGTTCTAGTGGATTCACATTCAGCCATCAACAAGCATCCTTGGATAGCTGGATTCCCTATGAACTTCTTATCAAATCCTACCAAGAGATCTACACTGTACATCATTTTTATTCCTTGATTTAGGGGATAATCTTATTGGAAGCTTTGATATACATGTGGCAGTGGGAAATTTATGTTGCTGAGGTTTCTGAACTTTGTGCCAGTAGGCTGACAGAAACCTCAGCAACATAAATTTCCCACTGCCACATGTATATCAAA